GGGTTGTCCAGATAACTGATTTACGTACGAAAAAATAGTTTAACGCATCCGATGTCAAAATTTTTCTCCGTTGCGTGTTGCTTTGCGTTGAATTTTTGTCGATGTTAAGTCTAACAAAGACTATTGTATTGTTAAAAAATATTTTTTTATTTTGTACAAACAAAATAAATATATTGAAAAATAAAAAAGTAATAAAAATTATACTTCAGAAGTTAATTTAGTATCAAAATCATAAAATATTTGAGTAGCCCAAGACATAGCCAAAGATTGAAGCGCCACAGCACTGGCGAAATTTAAATTTGCCGACTGGAATTCTTTCGGATGATTGACTTTCGGAAAATTGACGCTCTACTGTATAACTAAAAAATATTTTCGATATAAACACTATAAAATTTTTCTCACATTTTCTGCTCGAGTAATACATGATACTTTTTGTTATATTAGTCTAGACATATTCTATGTATACTTTCTATATTCACATCCATTTAGTTTCATCTAAAATCTACAAACAAATTAATTTCCTAATAGAGAGACTACTTGCTAATTGAAATTTGTATTCTTCTTTCACACATTCAATAGCACTAAATCAGTAGAGATTCTAACTTACAGGCTTATAAACAATAAAAAACATAAATGTTTTGAAATTAGGACTAGATAATTATAGGCACAAATAAATTAGTAAGTCTATAATACATACTCTCTTATATCCAAGTATTATATCCAAAGATCAGTTCTCGCTAATTGTCAAAAATAAATTATTTTTCAACTTTTCTTTCTGTAGCATATTCTGAAACAAGTTCTAAATTCACAGAAAAATTTCTACCTTATATCCATTAAAAACAGCGCATAATGTATCCATCTGCGAAATAAAAATTTATTGCAGTGAACTTCAAAAAAACTGAGAAACACCAAGGAAACACTAAACCGAACTCTATGAAATCTGGCATGAACTGATGCATATGGGATAGACTGAAAATACTCCTCATGTGACCAAAGGTTAAATTTTTCTGAATAAACGCTAAAAGTTTTGAAAAGTTCTTTCATGAAACCCGATGAATTTAATTAATAAACAATAACTAAATCTGTTTAATAAAGATTAATAATTTACTATTATAATTATGCAAATTACATATAAAAAAGATCACTGCGCAAAATCTTCTGCGAACCATGGGATGACTGTAACGTGACGTGACATTGAAAGTTTCCTGCTAAACATTAAAGTTTAATATAATTACAGTACAGCTTCGTTTATCCGAAAGTCGGTTATCCGAAAGAATTCCAGTCAGAGGTCTGGAATTCTTTCTCCTTCTTACACCTTGATTCCAGTTAGCAAATTTCAATTTTCGCTAGTACTGTGGTGCTTTCAATCTTTGGCTAGATCTTGGGCTACTGCAATATTTTTTTTTGTTCGTGTGTGTGTTTTAGCTGGCAGCACTGGCACTTTTGTGTGTTGTTTTTCTGAGNGACTTCTTACACCTTGATTCCAGTTAGCAAATTTCAATTTTCGCTAGTACTGTGGTGCTTTCAATCTTTGGCTAGATCTTGGGCTACTGCAATATTTTTTTTTGTTCGTGTGTGTGTTTTAGCTGGCAGCACTGGCACTTTTGTGTGTTGTTTTTCTGAGAACTATGTGTCGTGCTGAATTGAACGTTTTTGATAATAGATCATCTTCTAAAGTATATATTTTTTGGTTTTTATATTTTTAATATATTTATTTTGTTTGAAAAAATAAAGAAATAATTTTTCAACTTTTCTTTCTGTAGCATATTCTGAAACAAGTTCTAAATTCACAGCAGAATTTCCACCTTATATCCATTAAAAACAGTGCATAATGTATCCATCCACGAAAATATAAATTTTTTGTAGTGAACTTCAAAAAAACAAAAAAACACCAAGGAAAAACTAAACCGAATTTTACGAAACTGGCGCGAACTCATGCATATGGCATATACTGAAAATACTTCTCACGTGACGAAAGGTTATATTTTTCTGAATAAACGCTAAAAGTTTTGAAAAATTCTTTTATGAAACTCAATGAATTTAATAAATACACAATAACTGAATCTGNATTACTTTTACATCTAGATAATTACATGCCAATACAAAACACATGACATCTGATGGCCAATCAGACATTTGTTTTATATTTTAAATTATTATATTCCATCATATGTTCTATTCTGATATATGTTTCTGAATAAGTTCTTTAACTTGAGGATGATTGGAGAAACACAAACATTTTCAATTGTTTTTAGCAAAGTCGTGTATCATGAGCTGGATTTTTGGTTGTGTATGTGTTTTAAATATATAAGTATTCTATAAGTTTGAACAATTGCTGCTTTTGGGCACAATTGTTCAAACTTCACCGGCCATGACCACGAGGTCGTCTATGATGCATTTTTGATGAAATTAACCTATCCAATTTTGAAATTTCTCTGTTGTGTGTCACCCTGGGTTGAATTTTTGTTGATGTGTAACGAAAATTTCCCATTTTTGAAAAAATAATTGTGGTTATTGTATCGTCCGAAATTATTTTTTTATTTTACACAAAAAATATACAATTTAACTGGATTATAACGTCATTGCATGTAACGACAACCCTAATATAACGTCAAATTTTTATCTGTCCCCCCACAATTTTACTATACTAGATAATGTTAAAAAACCTACTTGTAACAACATAAAATCCTGCTTTAATATCATATTTGAAGCACTCCCAAATTTACAAAATTATATTACAAATTTTATTTAACAAAGAAAATACTACGTGTTTAGTCCTAGTGTCAGAGTTCACTTCCTAGAACAACTGTGGATGGTACTCTCACCACCCACAGTTTGACTTTGGTTTGCCTGTTTGTAGAGAGAGTTGCCATTTTGTATTTTATTTTGACTCGGTTCTTGGTCCCCTGAGTACCTACAAGTCTGGTGTTTTTATGCATGCATGATTTGGGCACATAATACTCTGTGCCAAATTGCAACTCCTGACATGCACTCCTTACCTCTAAGCTAGTAACACAGCAGGCAGTATGATTTTATAAACAAGACATAGTCTTGTTTATAAAATCATACTGCCTGCTGTATGATTGTCAAAACTAGCTAATAAAAGTAGAAAAATGGTTGTGAAAAGAAAAAAATTATTAAAAAGGTACTAAAAAGCAAAAATTTAGAAAGGTGTAAAGAACACTGTACATCTGTCAACTAAACTGATAGCACACAGTACAGTGTATTATTAAAACCAGAGGGAATAGAATGGGAGGAAGGAAATGCATCTTAAAGTGGACTGTTCTCTCATTTTTGTAATAATGGTTGTCAGATCTCACTAATGACAGTGCCAGTATTTAAATTCATTCTCTGTTTTCAGTAATTTAATAATTTTTAAATGTTCAAAATCTTTTAATAATAATTTTTTTGTTTTTAAGAATTTTGACACTGTCAAGTGAGATCTTACAACTTGCTTGATTACAGTGTATGGCAACTGCTATGTTGGAATAATTATACTTGACTTCATGTAAATGCTCTCTGATTCTATTTTTTAATATTCCACCAGTCTCACCTACATAATAATACTCTGATTGGCAACTACCACCAAATATATAAACTAAATTATTGTTTAATAGTCTTTTAAAAATCAAAGAGTGGATCAAAAGAAAATAGACATAATGATAATGTTGTTATTTAAAATAGGTGGAAGAATAATATTATATGGCCTCAATAATATTTGTTATTTTCAAAAATGATGGCAATATAATCAAATTTTTTATAAATTAGTTGTGTATGTGGTATTGTTTGTTTTATGGTGTTATTTTTTTAAATTCATTTTTAGTTTTACCTTTTTAATAGTCCAATTGTCACCAGTATAAACATACCATTTCAGGTAATTTTAATTTTAGTGAATTTTCATGTATATATGTAATGTATTAAATACATGTAATCCATGGCATTTAGTATTTCATTTACTAGATATGTATAAAATAAGGACTGATGGGGAGAATAGCCTAAAATGCATTTCCTTTTTTAATAATAAAGTGTTTAATCAATCACCTAGTGCTTGCTTCTAACAAACTGTCTACTATGTTTTATTGCATTTATTTTTATTGCTGATGAATTTTCTTTCAACCAAATGAGAATGGAAGTACAGGTAACACCTGTATAACATGGCACTTCTATAGCACAGATTCACTCTAACATGGTTCGAGAATTGGGTAAAACCCTCATACAACATGAAATGTACAGTAATAAAAACTATTAAAAGTGAACTTTATCTACTTTGAAATTAGGGAAATCCTTGTACAAACAGTTCAATAAATGTGATAAAACTTTTAAGTGTGAAAGATACCTCATTTGACATTTTTCATTCAAGTGTGTACATACTATCAGATTTTCCTGTGTAATTTTCATGAACTATTAGTATTTAAGTATGTAAATTTTCTTTTCCCGCCTTCTGTCGATATACGTGGTCCTTCTCGAAACTTGTTTCAGTGTTGCCAGATGTTTTCCCCTTATTCCATACTTGTTTTATTCTTCATAAGTGCTTAGTGCCATATAAGGAAATTTGTAAACATCTTTTAACTAAAAACAAGCAATCAAAAATAACATATTTTTTGCAAAAGGTAGAGCATGGATCTGAAGATAATGCAGAAAAATGCTCAGAGGATAAGGATATCTTGCCAAAAAAAAAATGCCCTCGGTTAATAGTGCTTAGTGATGACAAACATTGTTTAATTTACATTAATATGTATTACTTAAGAAAATTTTAATAAAGATATTTATCTTAATTATGAAAATAATAGCATGTTTTTTTAATTTTTGGAACCTAACCCCCCTTTTCGTACTAGTTCTTTGTTTCATATAACACGGATTTGCATAACATGGAAATTTTTTGGAATATAACTCCCATGTTATGTGGGGGTTACCTGTATATTAAACTGAGCTGCTTTGGTACCATTTTCTCTCCCATTTTCCCAGTCTTATGAAATAGGAACAACGCTTAATTTTTGAATTTTTCTCTAAATATGAATTTAATGTTTCAGTTAAATTTTTTAATGCTTTGTGTTTTTCTCTCTCAGAAAATGACCCATCCCGATCCGGATGTCCGTCCCTCGGCCGCATCACTCACTCAACACAAATTTTTGGTAAATTATGCTAATAAAAGTAAGGTCGAATTAACCAAAGAATTGAATGCAGAAAAATTGAAAAATCAATTATTGTCAAGGTAATTATGCAAATTTATATAATTTACTTAATTATATAGAATCTCATTAATAGCATGTTTTAGATAGTTTTCCATAAACAGTGATTAAATTGCACTGTAAATGGTCCTTTAAGAGTATCATATGATTATCTAGTGACTTCAGAATAACATTAGATAAGACTGTTGTATATCCTTCCTTCACTCATCTTATGACAGATTAGTATTCTGTCAAAAAAAAAAAAAGTTTAATTATTTTTACCCTGTGAGCATTCTGAGAATCTTAATAATCACTATCTCATGTTTTGGCCAAGTCTGGCATATCTAGGCCAGACCATTTGCAAAAATTTCTGATGATTTGAATTGTTCTCAAACCTAGGTTCCCGGAGTAGCAGACTGATGCATGCAGGAAAATAAAGCATCAATGACTGTTCATCAATAATTAACAGAGATGATTGGTTGAGACTGTTGTCATCTATATTTTGTTGCTTGTGTGCATCAGTCTTTAGTTGCCTCTGCTATCTGTTTGGCATTACAGATTGATTCATCCCATATCAAATCAGATATGACATCAGTTATATAGCAGAATGGAATACTATTAGTGTAAAGTGAGGATCAAAAATGTGATCACATAGACTTGATGCCCAAGCCTGCCATTTTAAGGATTTTGATGGAAATTTTCGAGTCAGCCTGGATATGCCAATCTTTTCTCTCACTATTCAATTTGTTTTCATTATGGGCCTTGCCAAACTCTTAATAAGGTTTTTTAATCAATACTATTATGTATTTGGGGTAGAAAGAACTAAAAATGAAAATAAAATGTGATCCCAGTACACTTCAGGATAAAGGGGGAAATGAGCCATAAATATTGTCATATATTCTTAAATAGCAAAATAGGAGTCTAGAGGCAGTGTATGATCCCAGGACATTTGTAGATAATGTGCAGAACAGTTCTTATATACAGTAAACTCTTGGTAATCTGGCCATTCCCTGCACAGAGGAGTACCAGATTATTGAGAGATAAAAGACTAAATTTAGTAAAGAATTAAACTGATCTGTACTGGACAGTAAAGCAATAACCTCTAATCTGATTACTGGTGTTAATAAACACTCCCACTCAAATCAATGAACCTTTATCTCCAGTAATGCTTAAATTTCGGGAAGAAACATTTTAGGCTTCATCCAAGGTCTGCTTCAGGTTAATAGAAAACAGGATTCCAAACTTAGAATGACTTTCCTTGGAACAACTTCAAATGTTGAGTTTCAAAATAAAACAAATGCACATGCTATGGAGCATTGATGACTTCTTGCTCTTCGCATATGTAGTGTCAGGTGTATAATAGTGCATTTCCATCTTTACAGTTTATACATCTCCCCTTCAGGCTGGCCCTGTATATTTTGAGGGCCTCAAGGGTCCTAATGTGGTCAACGTGGAAGGGTCTTTTTATCAGTCTGACGTTGGATAGGTCTGTGTGAACCTCTGGGTTGGTGGTGTAATGAGCATGGTCTATGTCATATTTGTGCTCACGGACTCTCTGTTGGATGGATGTAACATTTAGTGGAGCCTGTGTATACCAAATTATTCCCAAACAGGATTATACAGAATACTGTATAATCCTGGAGCTCCGAGATCGTCCTGCTTGTCTTTTGCATTGTGCAATAAAGTATATATAGTGGGGGACCTTCGGTAGGTTAATTTGATGCCTGTTTTGGTCGTGAATTCTTTATACAAGGCCTGAAGTCGGTTGTACTCAACTCTAGAGCACCTTAGGCCCATTCTGGACAAGACTAGATCTCTGACAAAACTCCCGGAAAAAGCCATTATGATGTCACAATTAGTGAAAATCTGGCAAAACAGATTTTCACTAATTGTGACATCATAATGGAGAAACCAGCTTTCTGTTTACCAGAGATGAGACTATTTTGTCTATGGAGGTGACTCAGAATGTCAGTGTAGGATTCCTTGTTAATGGGTTTTGTTGAAAACAAACTCACAATGCACTAGGTTTATCACATCACAAAAATTCTGTGACTTTTGCATACTAAGAGGTAATATAGAATTAGTTTATTTTGAAGGTAGGCTATAGATATTTACATTATTAATGTAATAAAAGTTGTGTATGCAGAGACCTCTGGTTATTTACATTGCCCATTAAGATAACTATGATAGTTAGCAAGTGATTACAAAAGCACTAAAACATCTGTTAAATGGAACAATGCATGCATTTCATCTATGAAAGCAAATTTCTGTCAAGCCTGTACCAAGTATAATATCTGAGTAGGTGTCACCTAGCACATATAGCATTCCAAAGCATTCACTGGAAACTTGTGCTTTATGTAAGAAACCAATTTTTCAGTCACTTAAGTTGTTCGCAACAGATTCAAACACTTACTGTCGATGGCCTGTGAGCAATGGTACACATGCTATTTCTTATATGGGAATTTCACAGAGTATTATGTGGCACTCTTGCATCATAACCAACTATACTCCTAATTGCATTGATTATCTATTGGAGATTTCACGTAACAACTGCCAATTTTACAGAGTTGACTGAATGAACCTTATTTTTTGAGAAGAGTGTTTTTCATAGATGAAGCATCATTCACTAGAATTGGCTTCTTCAATTTCAGTAACAGCCATGTTTGAGTAGAACCAATTTACATCACATGGGTAGGTATTAGTGGTGATTAACTGATTGGCCTTAACCTGCACACATTTGAATTGGCAGTTTTCACAGAACATTTTTGTTCTTAGCTATTAGAAGATTTACAACTTATTGTATGTTAGCAAATATGGATGCAACATGCCAGCGTATCTACTTTCCACATTCTAGAATTTCTAAATTGCATTGAGCATTGGATTGAAAGAGGGCGGTCTGCTCGAGAGGGCAAGCTCACTCCCTTAGCTTGATTCCATTTTATTACTTTCTAAAGGAACATATAAAAAACTTCATCTATGAGACGTAGCAAACAATCCAAAAACACTTTTAGCCAGATTACTTGAAGTGTACAATGTGGTCCAGAAATGCCTGGAGTATTTAAAAGAGAGTGCACCATGATGTTGTTTGATCCTGCATTGGATATGGTGGTCATCAATTAAAACATGTTGTAAGTAAATTTAGTAGGGTTTTGAAAGTTAAATTAAACCACTTAAACATAGCAGAAAAAGATTTGGAATGGAAACTTGAAAAATTGATGGGCTACCTACACAACTGGCAGCCCAACAATATTATGTACCAATAAAATCAGTACATAAAATTGTTGGTTTTATCGAGTTTGGCAGGGATTCATTTTTATATTTTACATTGGAAGTTAATGAGTGTTCGTTTTGCAATTTGTAATCTAAAGATTACAAATCACTCTGATTTTGTTTTTGTTACTTCTAGAATTTTCTTTCCCAAAAGTGATTCCATTTTCACCCTTCATTCAAAGTAAGAATTAGATATTCAGGACAACTTGGTGGTTAATTAACAAAAGATGAGAGGAGAAATTTCAAAGAAAAAATGTTAATAAAATATAGTGCCAGAAATTTAACAATTAGAAAACAGAATTTTCCAAATAAATTTGAGAGCTCATTTTTAGGACATTATTTAATTTATTCCTTATGCAACTCAAATTGGGTGGACATTTTATTTACAGTATTTTTATTTTTTCAGGAAACTACAAGAAGCAGTGATGTATCTGAATAATTTGCCTGATCAAAAATTGACGGGAGGAGGAAGATCGACTAGGTTGGTGGGACAGAATACAACTCGACGCAGTTTGAGTACAACCAATTTCTGAATGACGACGTTTTAGTCGGAAGTGTAAAATAATGTCAGCGTTCTCGTGTACATTTTAATAATTCGGAAGGAGTTCTTCCGATGCTGGTCATTACTAGTTTTGTTGTTAGGTCATGACCCAGAGATCGGAGATTCCACATTTTTTCCTTCCTGCCTTCGTTCTGCCATTGTAATTAATTAAAATGTAATTAGATTTTCATACAAATCGTGATATTTTTTAAAACTCTTCACTTAAATGACATTCCAATTACATTCTGCCAAATTCTTCCTGCTAATATGTTGGCAGCTTTTTTGTATGCACCCGGGTCATTTTTATTGAAAGTCATGAGTTACGTATCGCATCAAAGAATGAAAAAAAATTAGTGTGATAAAAGTTATTAAAATTTGCCCAATGTGTTTTAATAAAGAAAATGTTCTTATTGGTGCGATCTTTTATTGACTTTTTTATTTACATAGTGTCAGTGTATTTCAAATTGACTGATATTTAGGGTATGTGGTTATTAAGAACATTTATCTGTTCCTATGAGAAATAAACTGCATCCCCTAAAATTATCAGAATAAATGTATGCTAAACAGTTTGGTGGCATGTAACAGTTTTTTTCAATATAAAAAATTAGTTGCAAAACAAATTGCCAAGAGCCTAAACAAATTCCATATGGATAAAACACCATTAACTGTCTCCAAGCTACCGTTGGTGTATTTTTTAAAAAACTTCATACTTACAAGAAAAGTACTGTACATTTTATGTCACAAACCGATTTAATTAAACATGGTATCAAATGAAAGATAATTAATACTTGTATTCTGCAGATATTTTAGTGAGATTATATGAAAACTTTGATATGAGCCATAACTCCTTTATGGTTCATTAAAGTTTTTGTGTATATACAAAAAAACTAATTAGATGATAACTGTTCAGCTAATTAGTATAGTAGTAATATTTAAGATTAAAATTCGGGTTGGCAATGAAGTGGTGAATATAAAAATACTAACACCAACCACAGCGAACACAAGAAATGCTCAATAGAAAACTGGCACTAGTTCTCGACTTAAAAATTTGTCGGTGATTTGAAGTTACCACTTATCAAAATTTGGCATATGACATCAATCGAAAGGATTTTTAACCCTATATTTTACATTAGTTTTTGCTTACGTTGTGTGAGTTGTATGTTATATTAATTTGTGTTTGGTAACACATTCTCAATATCTAATGTTTGCTATTCTGCAAATAAAAATATGTCCTATTAAGCTCTCAATTGACATTTGTTTGTCAAAATCAGTTGGTAACATCAAGTGTACAGTACTTCCCTTGTTACACTGCCTTTCTACTGCAACTTTGCTGTCAACAAAGAACAGTGAAAAAAATTACACCACTGATGCAGATGTTTCTCCTTTTCCGATTTATTTAACATAAAAAGTTACTAATTAAAAATAATTCTATTGGTAAAAGAGTAATCATTTAACCTGATGACACTTAGGCGTTTTATTAAACAAATTATCGCGGTGTAGCGTTATCCAGTAATTACACTTTAATTTCTGTTTTTTCGACTGGATCACTAGAGAGCTTTTTTTATGCCCATCCGTGGCGGGTTCTTGGAGTGGTGGAAGAGGAAAGTAACCCTTATCAGTCCAAGACTCGATGACTAAAGACTTTCAAATTGTTTTTCTTAGGAGGTTCTAGGCGCACCCGTTTATGAATTACATATTTTCTGCACTTTTGCATCAAAAATAAACTGAGTCGGGCCCGTCTCAGTATAAACTGAAACTCACTGCTAACGTTTCATTTTGTATAATTTTATGGCTAATTTGGGCAGAGAACATTCGATGTGCGGATGAACATGTTTAATGCATTGATATTTTGTTGTGAAAGAAATATCATTCCGATTTTTATTATTTTCTTTAATAGAAAAATCTAGTTTTTCTTTCACATTTAACAATATATAATTATATATTGAATATTTTGGCATAAAGGTAAAAACAATTTTAATTTTTCTCAAAACATGAAATATATATATGTTAAAATCTAATCTTTTGATCTTCAGGTAATATATAATTAACGGGTGATGGAATAATATATCACAGATCGATCACACGGAAAATACTTTTATCTTGGACATAGATTCTACGTCACAGTTTCTCTTATTAATTATTTCATTAGAAGCAGTGAGAATAAATATTTATTGATCGAGTTTAATCGTCCCATAAATATATATATCGATACATATATTTATTGTGCAGTCTCAGATTGGTGGTTTTCCCGGACGTCTCCAGACCACTTTCGACCAAGCTTTTTCCCATAATTCCGGCAACCAGAGGTCCGTCGACAGATCCCACGGATAATTCTCGTCCAGAAACTTAATGGCCAACACCCACAGAGCGACGATCGTCGAAGCGGCCCAGGCACCGGTACAAAAGAGTCGTTTGGCCAAACGACGCCGTCTCCCTCCGAAGATGGAAGATATGCTGAAAACACATCTCCATTACTGCACAAATAATTCTTACCTCTACTTAGCTGTTATAGAAAAAAGATGTCTTACCTGTCGTTTGTGGCTTCTTCCAGGCCGTTCTGTCTCTCGGGAATTTCTTTAATTTTTCTATTATTTATATTTTTGATTGTTTCGTTTGCACCGCTAAAAATCAATTTGTTTTAATATTTTGCTTTTATAAAAATACGCAAATCATAATTGTAAATACACGATATCCAAAGTAAAAAAATAAATGTAATTTCTATAAAAATAAAGTTATTTCCAAAGTTTTTTTTTTATTAAAAAGATAAAGTTGAGTAACCAAAATGTTTCAATCATTCCTTTAATAATTTAAAGTAATGCTGGCAACGAAACCGGGTTAGACTAGGCATAAAAGCAGTATTGTTGTTAGTTTTTAAGTTCTTATTTAGATATTTCAAACATTTCAGNGCAGTGTTTCTCAAACTTTTTTGTCAGGTGGCACACTTGAAATTATTAAACAAAATTCACGGCACCCCTATTATTATTATTTATTATTTTGCTTTTTACGGTTAGTAAAGATATGAAGGATGAGAAGACTTTGAAAAAAATAAAAGTTTTTTATTAAAGTAAGTTTATTTCCAAACAACACAAAAGCATTCAAAACAAAAGTTATTATTATAAAGGTATCTTTTAATTATTTATTTAATTTAATACTTTAATTCAATTATTTTAAGTAATTTTAATTTAATTATTTAAAAATTTCGCGGCACCCTTGTGGCGTTCTTGCGGCACCCGCTTTGAGAACCACTGCTGTAGAGCATAGACACTATGTATGTTGAAGTGGTTAATTCTTTATAATGTATTAATATTGATAAATCTATTCTAACTATTAGAATAATGCTTTATACTTAGATCTTAAATTATAAATTAAACAGAAGTGTTTTATTTTATTTTTCATCAAATAAAAAATATTTTACAATTAAAAACAAATTCTTAAAAACAGTAGACTACAAAAATATTTTATTCAAAGAAATATTAATGATATAATAATTTTTCAAAAATTATTAATTACGGTAGCTTATTTAAAATTTTGTATTTAATATTTTTATTAGTAATAATAATTAATGAATAAAATAATAAAACATTGAATTCAGTAGAATTAAAGCAATTTTAAAATAGATTTGGTTTGACATCTGATTTAGAAAAACCGGTTTTTACCGAAACTAGTTAACTAAATTCGAAATTTCCAATTTTTGCTAGCATTACTTTAAAGCCCGAAGCCATTACTTACAATCCATTTCTTTCCTAAACATAGTTTTCCCGATTTTAGAGATAACTATAAAATTAAAAATATTTTTATTTTACTATTTTTGCATTAAAATTTAAGTGTAAAAAATTTTAGTTATTACTGCTTTCTTTGCGAAACAAATAGTAAGAACGGATTAGTTATTTGGGATAGAGGCCGATAGTGTTTATAGTAGACAAATTTATCCAACTGTACAAAAATACTGAATTTGATTTTTAAAAATGCAGTAAAAAGTGATGAATACGTTTAGAAATTATTGAACATCGAAAAATAAAACTAAATTTGGAAATAACATTTCCGATGCACCTCAAATAAAATGTTTTTGAATCTTAAATTTTTCTCATTTCATTTGGGCGATGTGGATAAATTTTAACTGCATAAATTTACTGTGAAAAAGTTTTCATAAAATAATTTCTTGATATTAAATATATTAGTATAAAATATTGAAAAACGATCTGTTTATACAGAAGTATTCTTTTCTGTTCACCCAATCCAAGAATATATTAACCGATAATCCCGAAAAGTCTATTCGGAAAGTCCAGAAATTTCTTGTTCCGAATTTACCCGTGATCAAAAAGTATCGGGAATNCATTTACTACTAAAGATCTTTTGAAGAAGTGGGAGCAGAGCCGGCCCTACCATAGGGCGAATGGAGCAGCCGCTCCAGGCGCTAAGTCCTAGGGGGCGCCTCAGTGGTAAAGAAAATTAAAGGGTATAAATTAGGGGCAACCAAGGGAGCGCCATAATAGGATCTCGCTCCATCCTAAAACTTGCTTCGGGCCGGCACTAAGTGGGAGGATGTCAGAACAATGATCATCCGAGTGGCATCCAAACCAGAATAAGGTTAATGGGGTTGGGGATCTCTACAATTACAATACTATTAATTACTTCCGAAAAATCCTGAAGAACAGAGAAAAGCAACTGACATTGGACAGATTCTTTGACCACCACAAACGGAAAAAACATGACTAATAAAAATGTAAGACTGTGTGAGGTTCCAAAATGGGCTTGATATTAAAGATTTATTATAGTAATTTGGTAAAACGAAACTAGAAAAATTGTCCATTGTTAAAAACCGATCAAAGATCAAATTAGTTGTTCTAGTCATATGAAACCGCGAATAGAGGGAAAAAACGCTATTGATGTAAACAGAATGCAATAATTATAAATGATTAATAATTGTTAACGAACGACCTCCAGTAGAGATGGACCTTTGACAAGTTGCTCATATACAAATAATTAGAACAGAAATTTTGAAAAGGTGAAAGATTAATGACGAAAAGGGACATCACATTGGGTCGTTAAATTTCAAAAAACGTCACAGACTAGACAACAATGGTGGAAAATATGAGCGCATGTTTCAATGTTCCATCAACATTTTGCATCCAGAGTAACAGATGGTGTCAGGTAGATTCTTTGAAGCGGATCTTTCTGGTGCTCGAACAGGAATCGTCTTTCGCTTAGAGACAGACGAGAGACCAATCGGGGAGCGAGTGAAAAGGGATGTGGAGCCAATCAGAAGAAAACAAAACAAAGAATGGAGATTGATATAATCCCCGATCTTCAAAGAACAGATTCACTTTCCAAAAACTGTGCACCTGCAAACGGTTAGTCAACGCGAAAAAGCAGTTTTCCATCTGTTGTGCCCAACTTGTAACTCGTGACTACGGACTCAGACCGCCGACACCGACTGATGAATCTCCACACCTGCCGTTGCCCCGGGGCCTTCCTTCGAGCGACATTAGAAACACCATCGACAATTCGAACCTCCAATTGTATAAAGAACATTTTTATTCCTTAGTGTAAGTTTACTTTTACGTTTAAAATAAACGGGTTTTTATGAGATTCTTGTCATCTGTGTCTCCTCCGCCACACCCACACAACCTGACCCTAGATCATCCTGATGTGGGATTAATGATTCCCCCAGGAAGTCGGCGAACTTACAACTGCATATATATGTATTATTATTATTACATAGAAATAAACGTAGTAAAAAATAGTAGTACAGTATGTAGTATAACTTTTTTTATTTTTTGAAGTCTCCGAAACGAATTAATCAAATTCCCATAACAACCTATGGTAAATCGATAATCGGTTAACGAACAATTCAGATAACGAACAAAGTCTTGGAACAGATTATGTTCGTTAACCTATCACCCACTGTATTTTCTCAATTAAAGATGGCTGATGATATTTACATAATAAAATATATAGAAGAAACTAAAATGTCTTTACTTTCCATCATGTTTCTGAAACGAAAAACTGTTGTTTTTGGTAATTGGACATGACGAAAAGGGAAGATATTTTAGTTTCTTCTATGTATTTTATTATGTACATATCGTTGACCATTTTTAATTAAAACTATTTTTAGTTTTTGCCTTGTCACCAGTGAACTTTTTAAAACTGTTGAATATTTTTGCAGAGACACAGCCTCCAATAAAAGTCATCTCAGCAATGAAAGACTGTTGTTTATGATGTTTGGACATGACTGAAGAAACTAAAATGTCTTCCCTTTTTATGTATTTAATTATAAAATGTTTTCTGATATCCTTTAAATCAAAATAAAGTCTCTCTCATTTCCAAAATACCAAAATATTTACTTATTCAATTTAATTAAATATTCTTGCTTAATAGTTCCAGAAGCCACAATGGTGTCAAATTTCTTACAATGGATTTCTTTATTCAATTATTTTTATTTATGTTATATTGTCTAATGTCTACTGAAATCAAGCTAATCTGAATTAACAAATGAGAATTGTTTAGAGAAAATCAAACTGTTTGGATTAATGGAAGCTTATTTATACTGTGGTTTTTGTTAGTATAAACCATATTGTAATTATGACATATGACATTAATTTTTTCCTGTTATAATATACTTCTTTTGCATTCTATACATTCTGAGGAATAGTAATTTTAGATGATTTAGATTAGTAGATCACATTGTAATGACTATATTTTAAGACTAAAGCAAAATCTAAATTCTTTAATAATTTGAATCAGATATGTATAAAATTTGAAAGTTATATAAATGAAGAAATTTATGTAAATTTATTACAGATTGTTTCATATATCTTGACCAGGCAATGCACAGTATTCAGTTAGGGTTATGGAAGTTTTAAAAACAGACCTTTTTGATACAGTGATTTTGGTTACAGATTTGTCAAATAATTCATTTCCTTCACTAACTATGTTAAACAATGTTCCCTCTAAGCTGCGCGGCCACGCACTGCTGAAATTGTTGCCGCACACAAGAATTTATGTGCCGCGCAGGCGATCATGCACACCGATTTGAATTGTTGTTTACTTATTCCTCACTCTGTCTGCAACATGATTATTGCTACGTATATTTCAATTAAATACATTAAATCATTGACAAGAGATAATATTTTGTATAAAAGAATGTTTTAAAATTAATTTTAATCTCTACTTTATAATTAATTATTTTAATTTTTATAGAAAAAAATAAGATTATATATATATATGATCAGAAAAATTTTTTGCTCAGAGAAGTATGTGTTCCGCTCATCCACAAAAAAAATTAGAGGGA